TACAGCAAGAAGTCCTCTTCATAGCAAGATCTGCTATATTTATTCTCCCTCCCCCATAGGAGTATCAGCTACATTTATTTACGATAATATCCCTTACACTAGATGACATGATATTTCTATACCTATTGTGCAGTGGGAGTCTGTATGGGTAGAAGTAGACCATTCGTTTTTATCCATTGATCAAAAAAAATTTTGTTTTGTGCTGCACATACCGCTCGCCATAGTCATGTTCATCAGAATTTATTTAGCGCTCGCCATCGTCACGTTCATCAGAATTTATTATTCATCTAAATCACATTTTCAACATATTAGATTCAGAAAATAAGCCTGCTCTAATAATGGGTGATATTAATAGAAATTTGTTAGACATCGACCGTAGGCTGTAAATAAGCTACTCTGATTGCTTTTGGTTATGAACAACTCATAACATCACCAAGAAAATGTCTTTATGGAACAAATGCTTCTAGACCATGCGTTAACTAACATTACTTCCACACTTAACTTAGGAGTCATTAAAACTGATATTGGCGATCATTCCCATTTTCGTCATCTTGAACTCATTGAATAGCTCTGGCAGTTCACGATACTTAGCCAAAGTACTCAATAAGAATGGCTTTGTAGAAGATGTAAGTAATACTGATTAGACCGAAACTGAACACATGAAAGAGCCTGACTGTGCACTTGAAAGATGCTGCAAGTTTTTTCGGGAAGCTGAGTCTCGAAATACAACTATTAGCAAATGTAAACAGCGTTACAGTTCACCTCGATGTCCATGGATAACCAAAGGGATTCTTCAAAGTATGCGCAAGAAAGAAAACTTATACAAAAAAACAAAAAAGCAACCATTCAGTCCCAATTTAGCATCAAGATACAAAAAATATTGCGACATATTAAATTCGTTATTAAATAAAGCTAAGAAAAGTTATTACAAAAAGGAATTCTTAAGTCGACAGAACAATTCTACAAAGAAATGGGAGTTGCTAAATTCATTCCTTAACAGGACAACACGTCAGACTTCAGTTTCTAAAATTAAATATAATGATTTCACGCATGATGATACACTTGAAATAGCAAATGCTTTCAATGACTTCTTTCACAAAATTTACAATCAGGACCACTGCAGAGAAGCTGAATGTAGCAGGAATCGAGTTAATTTTTCATTTTTTCCTTTCCCTGTGACACCAGAAGTTTCCACCGCGATTAAGAACCTTCAAGATATCTTGCCCAAATTAGATGACATTCATGCTTGCCACTTAAAAATAGTGGGTCATTTAATCTCTCAAACACGGGCATGTATATTTAACAGTATTTTTAAAACTGGAATTTTCCCAATTACCCTAAAGAACACCAAAGTTATACCTATTTTCAAGAAAGGTGATAGCTAAATTATTCGTAATTATTGACCTATCTTTATTTTAACTGTCATGAGCAAAATAAGTGAGAAACTGTTTGTTAGTCGCCTGAGTAGTTACCTAAAAAAATTCAATCTCTTCAACGATTGCCAATTTGGTTTTCGTTCAGGTAGTTCAACTAACTTGGCGGTAACTTGACAAACAGACTGCATTAAACATTGCATTGACAAAGAACCATTTGATGCTTCTGTATTCTTAGACTTTTCCAAGGCTTTTGATACAATTAATCACGGTAAATTACTAAAAAAATTAGAAGCTTATGGAATAACAGGTCCAGCATTAACCTTTTTGAGAAACTATTTGTGTGACAAAAAGCTAACAGTTTATTTATCCGGCAGATTTTCAGACACGAAAATAATTAATCAGGGCATGCCACAAGGCTCCAATCTTGAGACCATTGTTATTTATTCTCTATATTAACGGCCTTCACCCAACACGCTTCACCCTCACAATGCATGTTATACACGGATGATACAACTATTTCAGACTTTGATATATCTTTAACATCGTTATCTAATAAATTAAATAGCACATTAGCTAACATTGTTACTTGGTGTCACAATATTCACTTAACCTTAAATCCAAATAAAACTAAATTCATGATTTTTCGTTATCCTTAAAGACAACTGCAGTTATCACTATAGGTAACCCTTGATTCCCACCTCATTTCTCCTAGCGACTGTTTCCTTTCTCGGTGTTTATTTCGATGAACAATTAAAATTTAACAAACATATTCCTCAAGTTTATCGAAAAATGTTTTTCGGCTTGATAGCCTTAATAAAAGCTAGACATTGCCTATCTACTCCTGCTCTTTACCATGCATTCATTCATAGCCATATTAATTACGGCCTTGCTGCCTATGGAAACACGTATCAGTGCCACTTCTCATCTATTCAACACATTCAAAACCAAACTCTGCCCATTATTTTGAACTTTAGTCACAATACCATTAATATCATATGCAAGTAAAATAATGTGCTGACACCTAACGATTTAGTATTAACACTGAACTTAAGTAGTCACAATGTTCTTCAGGTTACACAGATCTCACCCAGGAGTTTGTCCCCTTGCATTCCCTGAAGAATAATAACCCCACTCCTTCTTGCTTCCAAAAGCATTTACAAATTACGGCAAAATGACAGCATCATTCTGTGCTATCAAAAATGTGAAACACTCTCTCTCACCCGGTCAAACATTATCATCTCTTACTGTGTTTAAAAAAACAACACTTAGAACTCATTTCTTGAGCCAATGATTAATTATAGCGTGTACTGTGTTCTCTAGCTGCTTTTTTCATTTCCTGTTTAATCACATAACAACATTACCTTAATTACATTATTACTATTCATGGTGGTTTTCACTGCATGTTTTCATTGTCAGAATGAACTTGTGTTTTTTTAATTTCAGTATTTCACAAATAAAAAACAGTTCTATGTACTAAAATACTTTATTAATATCACCTATTATTTCTATATTCCTTTTGTATAACGTATCCACCAGAGAGAGAGAGAGAGAGAGTGTGTGAGTGCGTGCGAGTGTGTGTGTGCATGCACGTGCGTGTTTTGTTTTATTTTGCTTGAATTAGATATTTTTACATTTTTGTGCATATTTCGCAGTTTGTATCTGATAATTCTATACAGAGGGTCCTGGTATGGTCCCCTGACCTTGAGATCCTCTTCCGTATATTCTTCACGCTGTAATAAGGCTATGCAAAATAAACTTCAATTTGATTTGATTTGAATTGGCATAGCCAACTTCTTGGGAGTCGATGGAGTGACATAAATGTAACAGTGCCGAATAATGAATCTAGCTCGTCACGAAACAGAGCCTGTCCTTTGATATATTTTGTCTCCGTTGCAAACAGAATTCTCTGCTTAATGATGTGATCCATGAAGCTGTCATCAAAATATTCTTTGAAATATATAATAATTCAATACAAGCCCGAACAGTGACTGATTGACAGAGAGGTTTGCCAGTGCGGCATTTACCAATGTTTTTGGCAGTCTTTTTTTTTTTTGTTTCATCACAATTAAAGAGGTGCTTGATTGATCTACCGCATTTTTGTCTTCAACCTCACAGCTCTATGAAAAACTTGTGCTTGAGCATGATTATCAGAGTTAAGATCGTCATCTTCAAGGTCACTGAGACAGATGTCATCACTCTTATCTACAGGTGGCAAGCACATGTGAGGGTTTTTTTTTCTTCCATAAAATGAGCACACGTCCATGATATATACCAACAAACAAAAACTTGATACTGGCAGTCCACACTCATATGCCGGATGATGCAAATTCAAGAACACAAATCGAGGATCATGCAATAAGAAACATACTTCAAAACAACATAAGATATCCTATGTAACCTCTTGCATGCCAGAAATATTTTTGTAGGAGGTAGAACTTGCGTCACTCAGGTCGGAAACAAACAAGTGAGAGCTGTTGCACAGGCCTTAAGCTCTCCAGCAACTCAGACGTATGTTAGGTTCCAGCTTGAAATATGTTACACGAAACGAGGCTAGATGTCCCGTGCTGAAACTATGTTCGCCCTGAATATGTGACAAGCAGAGTTTTGCAACTTGCTTGATCAGCGTCTTTCTGTATGTCGCGAATGCGCGACAAGTAGAGGGCTAAAATTCATGTCACCTTATTCCTTATCTACTTAATTCATAAAGTTTATGATGTTTCAATCAAACTATACTTAACCTGTTGTATATGTACTGCACAGTGTTTGAAATGGACATTGTTGTCATAACTAGATTTTTTATTATCTTGCTCAATTACTTGAATTGCTTAAAAAGACCACCTTTCTGTTCAACTGATTCTCATTTCTGTAAGTTAGTCAACACACCTGTTGTATATAACCGTGCTTTCCAAACATGTTTCAGTGCACTTAATATGTTTTTTTATTATTTATAGTTAGTAGCATGTTTCGTTTTCCCTACTAGTACTTCCTAAATTGCTGTTACTTTGTAAGTGTCCGTAATGTACTTTGTATGTAAATCATGGTATAAAATCTGTGATAAAAACTAAGAGAAGCCCAGCACCGAACCTGCCTGGTCCAAGGTGAGCAACACTGTCCTTTACTTTCTTTCCTTTCATCATCACTTTCCTTATACTTCTCACATCCCTCATGAATCACTCTCCGACTCTTTGACATCTGCCTGTATATTTCATTCTGTAATCCTTACCTGTACAAAATAAAGTCTGAATAACAGACAAGGGAAGGCAGTACTATTGAATGTGAATGTGCCTCTATTTCATGCATACATGAAACATTGATTGATTGATATGTGTGGTGTAACGCTCCAAAACCACCATATGATTATGAGAGATGCTGTAGTGGAGGGCTCCAAAAATTTCAACCACCTGGGGTTTTTTAACGTGCACCCAAATCTGAGCACACGGGCCTACAACATTTCCGCCTCCATCGGAAATGCAGCCGCCGCAGCCGGGATTCGATTCCGCGACCTGCGGGTCAGCAGCCGAGTACCTTAGCCACTAGACCACCGCGGCGGGGCTGCATACATGAAACAGTAAGTGTTGTTCAATGAAACACTCTAGAGACTGCTATGCAGAAGAATGAACGCACCCAATAGGCGGTCTTGGTAGTTTTCCAGCACCCGCAGCAAGTTAGCACAGGAATCCTGGATGGCCCCAAAGAGCTCGAGCTTGGCATCGAGCTCAGCATCACTGGCAGTAATACAGTCATCTTCCTTGCGACCAATCTTGCGCAAGAATGCCTGCTTGGTGGCCCAGTACTGCTGCTGCATACGCGATACGGCCGATGACTGCCCATAGTATGCAGTAGGCCTTGTGCTGCACACACACAAATCAAGTGACACTTCTGTTCATTTTCGTGCTTTTCACAAGGTCAAATATCAACTTTACACTTACTAGCACCCAATTTTTCCAGATAGGTGCACACACAGAAATAGGCGAGGTGTAACTCCACAATTTCAGTTAAAAATGCGCAGTATCAACCTATTACGTTGTCCATGTGGCTCCATGAGCTCAACAATAACTGTGTTCTTTCAGGAGTTGGTTGCACAGTATATTCACATTAAATTTTCATGTTACCAGTGCTCACTCAGCGACTAAAAAAATATTAGTCCAATGAGCGTCTCTCTCTTCTGACAGATTCAAAAATGAAAACGAATAAAAACTGTCTCCAGGAATTAAGCAATGTTTTTTAATGATGTTTTATCATTTATTCTCTCAAAAATGTGACACTGTTCACTCATAAGTAAATAAAGTTCCAAAAAGGAACATGCATAACAAAACGAATGTGCAGAATGCATATCATAAAGAAAAACAAAAGAAAAGCTTCAAAATGCCACCAACAATATGCCTGGTGCTCACTTTTACAGAAAAAACCTCTTTTAACAAGCAATTTCGACCAGAGACAGCGCCCACTTTAGCACAGTACTGTGCAGACCAGGTTACTGCTTGCTTTAGAGTTTTGCAAAGAAGCTTTTTAATGAAAAAATTTGTCACGCTAGATGCGTTTCTCAAATTACTTCGAAGATGCTAAAGCTTTTAAGAGTTGAAGAGTTTTCAGCCTTGCCCAACAATGGCCCGTCATTCATTAGCACAGGTCGACCAACTTGCTCATGAGTCTACTCACTCGAACACATATCTAGCCGTGAGTGTGAGTGAGTCCGGGTACTATTTTGGCGAGTTTGAGGCCGAGTCAGCGCAAAGCGCAATATACATTTCTTCAGTGAGTGTGAGCGAGTTCCACTTTTTTTGCTGAGCTAAGGTCCTATCCACTCATTTTCAGCATGACTATTGGGCTTTCCTGAATTCCCGTTCATACTCACATCTACTCACACTTATTTCAAAGCAGTATCGTTCATACACCCTATCATATTTATTGATCAGGGGCGTAAACTACATTTGGGGGTGCCTTGGCCTCCCCCATAAACTCTTCTAGGCAAGTTTTTTATAAATATATTTTATGTTGTTATCTCCCCTTAAAAATGCCCTTACTGGTTTGCAACCACTAATGATTCGCACGGGAAGGTACTTTATCGAAAAGTGTCAGGAAGTGCACTGGTCAAGAAAGATACTGGTGTTAAAGAGCCTTGACACCAATGGCAAAAAAGTTAATTTTAGGCTAACGAACTCATGAATTAACTCACTGAGACTCACATCGAGCCGCGAGTCTGAATGAGTGCGGGTGGGTAACACTAACGCAAGTTTGGGCACCAGTGAGTCCGGTTGGAGAAAATTTTCGCAAGTGCAGGTTCGAATGAATCCAGCTGTAAAAAATTTTGGTGAGACCGAGTACGAATGAGCCCTTAATGCAAGATATGTTTCCCAAGCGAGTCTGAGTGAGCTCCACAATTTTTGCCGACCTAGACAAATACAGTGTGAAATTTTCTCAGGTCTCACAAAAATGCAGCAAGCTTTTCCTAATACTATATTTAAGTTCAGGACATATGGAAGATATTAATGCATATTCTTGAAACCATGTAAGAAATACCAAGCTTTCTTTCGCATAGGACCATTAAATGGAACATGGAACACGGCAAGTTAATCAATCCCACAAAACTGTAGAAATTTAATTGCATATAAACCTCCTCATTAGCAAAATCTGCAATCAGACTTATTGGTTGGTTGGTATGTAGGATTCAACGTCATTAAACCACCATGTGGTTATGAGAGAGGCCGTAGTGAAGGGCTCCAGCAATTTAGATCACCTGGGGTTGTTTAACCTGCACCAAAATTTGAGCACATGGGCCTACAGCATTTTTACTTCTTACGTAAATGCAGCCGCCACAGCCGAGATTTGATCCCGCAACCTGCGGGTCAGCAGCCGAGTACCTTAGCCACTAGAACACCGGGTGGGGAAATGAGACTTATGCAACCAGGTAGGTTATAAATGTCGCATCATCATGTTGTGCGCAAGCTGAGACACTTGACTACTTGAATAGATCCAGAATCTTCTAGTACACAGCCCCAGATTTAAGCTCCTTAAGTAAGTGAGAGGACTACCTACACAAGGAAAGAAAAGAATTTTTTTAAGGCCTGGTGTCTGTCGCACCGGTCTCATCAGGTGAAAACAAAACCCACACAGCTTCAACTTAAAGACAAAATCATATCACAACGTGCTCGCACATACAATTTGATTTATTTTTTTATTTGATACATTTACATACTGTGGAGACACCATCTGATTCAATTATGAACCAGCAAAATGGTAATTAGCCTATGTGGAATGGGTGACTGCGGCATTTTCAGACACCAAAGCAAATGTAGACAGTTTGCCAACCAATGCACTTCCGAAGCAGAAGTCTGGTTACTTCCCAGAAAACAAATATTAGTTTGCACGTGCATTAAATCGTTGAAGAAAGAAGCGGAAGGTTAAGCCAGAGGGAAAGAAAGCTGTAAGTGTGCTAGTTATGTATCACAAAAGGTTCCACATTCATTATGACTGCTACATAATTCTTAAACTCAAATGCATCACAGTGCAATCATTTTTGTCACACTGACTGCTATTTTGGTTCCCCTTGCATTATTCAAAGAGCAAAACAGTAGAACAGTAGTAGAAATAAAAGTAATATTTATTTTTTCAATGATTACTATAATTTCCCACTGGTTCTGTTTGCTACTTGCTACCTCAATTGTTGTAAGAGTCTTTGAACCATCATAAACCAGATATGACTTCCTGCTTGTTTGCAAAGTGCCACACACTTATTAGAATATTTTATTTCACTACATGAGTAAGAACTGCATATCCTTTTTTTGAACTTCACCTCATATTCATAATACAAAACAGAACAGCGTGCCAAGTTTGAAAGCCCTTGATTAACACAGAATTATAATTTACATTTAGGAGTAAAGTACAAACAAAAGCACAACTAAGTGCGTTTAACAATTTTTCAAAACATCACTGAGCCATATATGTGATGATTCTATGCTTTGTGGCAGACTCCTTTAAATATTTAAAAGTGGCCCTGAAAGATTCTTTGAGTTCCCTGAGAAAAATACCTTTTGTGAATAGGAGACAGAGCTGTGAGTGGTTTAGGGTAAATTTTGTAACTGTGCATGGCTTGTGGCTTTGTTGAGAAACAGAGTACAAAGTTGACTACTTTTTAAATGCCTCCTTTTTCAACAGAGGCAAGCAAGCAGTAGCTACTCCATGATATACGCAAAGAGAGCTGCCATCGGCAAACTAAAGGAACTGGGCAGGTTGTTTGGGCGAGCATGCTCATTTCTATTGTGACAGGGTATATAAAATGATGCAGTTAACAGAACATGCAGTGGCAAAAAATCTGTGCTAGGAGTTATTATAAGTATTGTGCATTTTTAAGGAAAGCCTACTTCAGTCTGCTCACACGAACGACCACACCCATTAAATAGGAATGAAAGATGACGTTTTAGGTGGCATGCCACCCTGCTACTTCGGAAAGGAGGGCACAAATAGGAAATGCAAATACTATGCATGTAATATGCTGGCACGTACTAGGTTCTTTCAAAGAATTACTGTCATGCTGCATTTGTAGGAAGCACCTTATTTATTTCCATGAATTTTATTTTTTATTCAAATATACTACAATCACCATTCGGCCATTTTAGCAGGAAGGTGAATAATGTTAGTGCTGAACAAATGGTGGGTGCATGAACATACAGCCGTCAACAGTTATGAAATATCTATGGAAGAAACAAACTGTCCTGGGAAAAATAAAATGTGGATGCAATACAAGCTACAAGATTATGTTACGCTCTAAGTGAATAAGCAACGGGTGTACCCTCCACCTCATCCAAGATTAACCAAAGAAGAGAGCGTGATTTTCAGATGCCTACAAAGCAATACTTAGCATACATGGCACACTAATGCACCGCCTCTACCCAACGACACATGGCTACATGTGCCCGCTCTGCAGCGTACCAGACAACCTGGCACATTTGCTCCTGGAATGCCAGTGCCGTGCTAACCACGGCTTGCAACTGGAGCGGGACCAAGCCCCAAGAATAAAGGACGACCACTTAATGAAAACGTGGGAGGCCAAGCTCGTCCTCGAGGACCTAGAAGACCTGCGACAACTCGTCACCAGGGCCAAGAGGGCAGTCGAAGCCAGAGGGTTCCTGGACTAGGGAACCCTCCCACCTTAGGGTGACACCGGGCCTCGCTCGGAACACTGTTTTCTAAATAAACGTTTATTTCTCTCTCTCTAAACATATAGTACCCGCAGATGATACATCTTAAAGAAAGATAGTTCACAGCTCCTTTTTTTAACTAACAAAGTAGCACTTTCAGTATTTAGTTTTATATATTCAAGCGTCTACGAGGGTGCATTTAGGCCCCTATATTTTTTTTATTCCCTTAATGACGAACGTTACCACTTTTTTGGACGTGCAAAAACATGGACTCAAGGAAAATGTCAGCACTTATAAGTGCCTTGTTCTCCAAACGAGCATGCGTTGGCAGCATCATAATCTCCCAATAGTGGATGCGCAACGTGTGCCCCTCAGGGGCCGTGAAAGTAGCAAACACCAGGTTGAGTAGTAGGAACTGCACAGCTAGACGATAGTTATAGCACGAGAACTATCTCGTGCTATAACTATCATCATGTCATACCAACTAGCCCAAACTGCCACACTTCTAAGTTGCACAGCTAGGCCTGAAACTTACAGAAAGGTACCATATGGGCAAAGGAAGGCAAAGCCATGTTGAGGCCAGACAGTTATTTTCTCACAGAAAAGCAACATGCCACTTGCCTATTAATGCCACACAAGGTATCATTTGACAGTAACGAGTGCACTGTGGCTCCAAGTCATAGTCCATTACCGGCATGTACTCTACTGGCAGATGTACGCATGACTGAAGCTTATATTGACACTCTGATCTGTAATGAATTATATGTCAAGTCCATAACAGCTGCAATGAATGCGTTTACAAAAAAGTCAAATCTTTATTTCTCGCACAACTTCTAAAACCACACGCGAGACCAGGCGCTGCACTTTTTTTGCAAGTAGTGCATGGTTTCGCCGAGTACGGATAGAACCGCATTTGCCTAGCGCGTCTACACAGTTGTTCGCCGCAGATTTACTTCACGTGAGCCACAAGCTTTCGTTTAAGCTTGAATTGTAGCACAAGTGCCTAGCATGCGGTATGACCATGTTTGGTATCATCAAGGCGTCGGCCTTTACATATTTCTGCGGAAAACGGCAGCTGCTTCGACCAGCTGGGCGCTCTACACAAGTGTGATTCCGCCTGTACCTCTACGATCAAATTTGCCAAAACATGACAGGGCATACACTCACGCAAAGTAATATCGTAAGATAGACTCTAGGGCATTGTATAATTGATCCTAAACCAACAGACACTGAGTCCTTTAGCTTCAACGGATGCAAGTATTTCACTCTCAAGCGGCACACCTGCGTTTTCACGAGCAGCGAGGTCAGAACTCGTGCACGTGATTACGTAGCAAACTTTCGTGTACGCTAAAGTTCCGCACCGTAAAGAAGGCAAACCCACGCAACCATATGCCAGGCCATAGTGATTACTTGTCGAGTGAAAGCGTGACAAGTAAGCGATGGTTAGACGTAAAATGCCAAAATACATGCACCAAAGAGCGAAGAAGAATGCGAGAAGAAGGAAAATGGTTACTTACAAATCATTCATTATCGTTCCAGGAAATAATCATCCCCAGACCTACAACCGGGTGCTAGTAGGCTGTCGTTTGGATTATATCTGAAGGAGAGGTGGCGACGGTTAGTGATCAGAAAGCAAGCATCAGTGCAGCACTTCTGATGTGCTGCACTTGGCAACTGCAGAGGTTAGTAAGCATTGTGGGTATTAGATTCGCATTAGTTTAAAAGCGATAACAGAAACACAAGTGACAACGTAAATATAGCATTACAGCATTAAGATATGTGAAGGTTTCAACCAAATTCCATATTGAAATTATTCCCAGCAACGCTTAAATTAAATAAGCAATAGGGCCGAGCACAGAATAGGCAGACGAAGAAGTTTGGCCTTAACGTAGCGCAAGAAACCCTACATTACTTCCCCACAGCTAATGGTTGCGTTAAATAATTATTTCCCACAAACGCAATATCAAACCTCGTTACCCATAACGGAAGCAGCGCCATGTTTTTTACTGCAACTTCCGGTGAGCGGCTTTACTGCCCTCTGACGTCTATAAAAGAGAAAAGAAACAATAATCACGCCGCATCTCGCATTGCAGGTCACAGTCGTGAATAAAGAGATGGCTTTTTTTACGACTCGTGCAGTTAGTACTGCTGTTATATATGTTACAGCAGTCATGCGGCTTTGAGCCTAGAAAGCTGCTCCTTTCCTTTTTTTTGTGTTGCTGATATTTCCACAAGGTGGCAACACTTCTCCGCAGATGCCGGCTCAGCTGGCAGTTACCGTAGGTCAGTGCCGTAGGTGTTTGATAAGGGAGAAAAAATCAAGTATCAAACATAGTACTGATCATTCGACGCAGCTGCAGAGCTGGTAGATGGTCAGTGGCTGCAGGCTCCAAGAAAGCGAGAGTATTTTGTGCAGCAATGCGCGTGCAGCTTTCTGGGTACTGATTGCCACCACATGGTTTGACTAAAATGCTATGTTGCAAACTTGTGGACTGGTAGCGTAACTGAGGCTTTTTTCAATTTTGTATTTTAAGGAAGCCCTGTTATGAAGTGGGAATAGGGGAGAAAGAAAACAGTTTTTTTCTTATCCTTTTTTTTCGTTCCACAGCCTGATTCACCCCTTATTACACGTGCTACCCGCACAGCCGCAACGCGCTGGGACGTGCGCTGCGGCTGTGCCGTTCTGTGGCTGTGCGGCGAGCGCATGGAACGGCCCTAACCCGACCCTGCAGTGGGTGTATGCCAGGATCTATGACAGCTCTTTTACTATGTCTGCTTTTATCAGCATACAATGTCCCGACGCAATAAAGCCCACGAAATTCCCAGGACCACCGCACAGGGACATGCAGTGTCCCTAGCTGTATTTCGTCTATTGTTGATCACCATCATCAGCCTGACTACGCCCACTTACATGTAGCCCTCTGCAGGGTAAAGGCATCTCCCATGTTCCGTCAATAAACCCGTTTCTGCGTTCCTGCAGCCGCATTATACCTGCAAACTTCCTAACCTGAGTTAACCGGGTCCATCAAATTTTGTCTCCCTCTCACGCGTTTCCCTTCTGTTGGAATTCAGTCAGTTACCCGTAATGACCGGCTATGTCAATTTCTTTTTCTTGATTTTAATTGACGATGATGTCCCTAACCCCCGTTTGTTCCTTGACCCACTCTTGAGCACGCCTATGTCCGTAGGTGAGTACAGGCAAGATGCAGCTGTCATATACCTTCCTCTTGAGCGATAGGTAGACTATCAATAATGATTTGAAAATGTTTGCCGTATGTACTCCATCCTTATTCTTCTGGTTATTTCACTTTCATGGTTCGGCTCCGTGGTTACTATCAGTCCTTAGTAGACATATTCCTGTACAACTTCCAGCGTCTCTCCACCTATCACAAAGTGCTGTTACCTGCAGAGGCTGTTGGACATCAGTTTTGTGCATATTAATTTTCATACCTACTTATCTGCTTTCCATGTCCAGTTCAGTAATCATGAGCTGTAATTCGTCCCCTGAGTAATTACTCATCAAGGCAATGTCATCAGTGAGTTGCAGGTTACTACGATACTCTCAATTAACCCTTATTATTATCTCTAACTCTTTCCAATCTAGGACCCTGAAAAACTGCTGTAAACACGCGGTGAATAGCATTGAAGACATCGTGTCTCCATGTGTTTACACCCTTCATAATTGGGATTTTGTCGCTTTCTTCATGGAGAACTATGGTGGCTCTAGATCAGCTGTAGGTTTCTTCCAGTATCATGTAGGGTTCGTCGATGCCCTGTTTCCGTAGTTCCTGCATTATTGCTGATGTCTTGACTGAGTCCAACACCTTCTCGTAATCTATGAAAGCTATGTATAGGGGCTGGTTGTATCCCGCTCATTTCTCTATTACCTGATTAATAGTATGGATATGGTCTATTCTAGAGTAGCCTGTACGAAATCCTGCTCGGTCCTTTGGTTGATTGAACTCTTATGTCGCCTCAATTTCATTAGCTATTATTTTTCTGAATATTTTTGTATCGCACAGGAAGATGATCGGTCAGTAATCTTTTAAGACCTTGACGTGTCTTAGGGATTAAGATGATGTGGGCGTTCTTCCAATATTCTGGTACCCTTCCCGTTGAGAGACACTCCGTATACACGGTGGCCAGTTTTTCTAACACAATTTATCCGCCATCTTTCAACAGTTCTGTTGTCACCTCATCCTCGCCAGCAGTTTTGTCTATTTGCCTATTGGAAAAATTGCCATGGTGGATACTGGAAAACATGGTGGGCGTAGTGGAAATAATAGTGGGCATGGTGGAAATTATGATGGATATGGTGGGACGTAGTGGAAAATATGGTGGATATGCCGGGACATACTGGGTGGTATGGTGTACAGATGGTGGGTAAAGTGCAAATGATGGTGGAAAGCAGAGGCTAGATAGTGGGCAATAATGGGACACTCTGCCCACCATTGCGATAATGCTGGGAAGCCCTAAGCATATGGTGGGTGGTGCTTATTATGGTGGGCTACATGGTGTACCAAGCTGAGAAACTCTTCCCACCATTGCGATAATGCTGGGAAGCACTAAGCAGATGATGTCTGCCGCTTGTTATGGTGGGCCACATGGTGTACCAAGCTGAGAAGCTCTGCCCACCATCACGATAATGCTGGGAAGCAGTAAGCAGTTGATGGGTGGGCTTATAATGGCGGGCAATTTATATAGTGTACCAAGCTGGGATCTGTACACTACATGTTCTACCACCATGATTTCCACCAAAGGTTAGGCCTACCGACCGAGCCTGTACAATTATGTTATCCGTGCTTCCGGGTTTCAGAATACACGATTTCGACGATTAAGTATGACAATACAGCGCAGCCATGGCATCAATTAACCTAAATGAAGCATTTTTCATTGTGTATAGTGTCCGCTCAAGAAGCAACAAACATCGATGCGACGCGATTAAAGCACTCCCAGAGAACGTAAGTGTCTTCTTACCGACAGCCGCCGGTCGCACTCGCCGGCACTTCTCTAGCTTTTGCACGAGAACTCAGACGTGGCAATTCGTATGCTTGGTGAACCAATATGATAGCGTAATCTTTCCGGCACACTGCATTCGTTTTGGCCAAGCCGTTATGTAGTTGTTGCTTTAGCGAAAAAGCTACAGCATTGCGCTGGCACGACCGCCCTCTACAATGCGCGAAAAGCATCCCAATATTCAATCAAATAAATCAGGCGGGCGTATCTATGGAATGAGCCTAGAAGCGTTATGAAGCATGAGCAGATGTCACCCTTTAGAACAAGCGCGAAACGGATATTAAACTTGGCAGACCCTGCCGGTAAACTGTTGCTGCTCCCCAGTCCACTTGGTTTTTTTCTTAAAGTTGTGAATTGTAAAAAAAAAAAAAAGCACTAGTGCCATTAACACAGTGGCAATCGTTACAGGCCGCAGTTGCTTGTGTTTAATAAATGTGCAATTTGTAGTAGCAGGTGTAGATCTTGTCTATGTTGTGTACACGATGAACATAACTTAAGTTGAACCGTAAGTTTGTATGCCCACTAAGTATTTAACACACAATTAACGTCATGTTGGTGTGGCGCAGTGGAGAAATTCAGAAGGCTATTGATGATCTCGGCATGGGCAAATCACCTGGTCCAGATGGCATTAATGCCGCCTTTTACAAGGCGTTCAAGGAGGATATGGCCGCCACATTGCATGAGGTTTTTTCAGAGTCTTTAGATCGCGGAGCTCTGGCTCCATCGTTTAATCGAGCACACACCGTGCTGATTCCTAAAGGGAAAGAGCAACATGTCTTACACAAAGTGACAGGATACAGGCCAATCACGCTAACAAACGTAGATTATAAGGTGTTTATGAAAGTTCTGGCTAGGAGGTTGCAAAGAGTCATATACAAGTTGGTCGGGTCACATCAGACTTGCGGCATCAAGCGTAGGAGCATATTCACGAATATTCATGTTGCCAGGAGCATTTTGGAGTATTGTGATGCTACGCTTCTAAAAGTAGCTATGTTGCAAATTGATCTAGCCAAGGCTTTCGACATGGTTCCACACAATATACTCTTCATGCTAGCTGAGTACGTTGGTCTTGGTGCGATCATATGTAAAGGTATTAAATTGGCATATAAAAATTCAACCACAAATTTAATTGTAAATAGAGAACTCTCACAGCGCATACAAGTACTTTCCTTCGTGTGCCAGGGGTGTCCTTTAAGTCCTTTGCTTTTCGCTCTATTTTGGAACCATTGTGTCAGAAAGTGATTCACCATGCAGGGATTAATGGTTTCAGGTTGCAGTCATGTGAAGTGCGTGTTTTGGCATACGCCGACGATATTGCCTTTTTTGCAGTTGATAGAGAGAGTGTCACTTCGTTATTAAAAATCACTCAAAGGTTTTGTGACACGAGTGGAAGTTTAATGAACAAAGAAAAAAGCATTGGTTTATGGCATGGTAATTGGGACCTTACGCCCAGTTCTTTTGGAAATATTCAGTGGCTCACGACGCCTAGTCGTTACCTAGGGGTACCATTGGACAGGTATCAAGACAGTGAAGCATTTTTGGCTTGAAAAGGCTGAAGAACTGCGCGCGACCACCGAAGGATGGGGCAGTCGTGGCTTATCAATTTTCTCTCGGTCAGCTCTATGCAACGTGTTTCTGGCTGCTAAAATTATGTACCTTTTGCAAGTACTTAGTTGTAAGCGTAAAACCATTCACAAAGTCCACAGGATATTCGCCACGTTCATCTGGAGCTCTACGTGGGAGAGAACATCTAGAACGAACTTGTTTCGGCGAGTTAAGCAAGGAGGGCTGTCTCTGTGCCATCTGTTTCTTAACCAAGTAATATCACGTTTCCTGCTCATTAGAGACCAGAGAGACTCTTTTTTACGTTCTTTATTTCAAACAACGCTGTTACACCACATGCCTGACTTCTTTGTATCTTCAGACAGGCGAGAACGACACACCTTGTCACCG